TTTCTAGAATATTTTTTTTCTAACTTTTGCTAATTCTAGGTCTTTTTTTCAAAGATTTTTCAACCTAGTGTCACCAAAAAAATGTTCACTGAAATTGGTGAACTTAACCTCTGTACTTTCCCCTACTGAGTAATATATGAAAGGTTCGAATCATGCAAGTAATACAAATTTGTATATTTGTTCTTATCGACAATTTTCCAAAGAGATTATAATTATTACATATTTTAATAAACAAAAACAAAACATTCTACCTAATACAGTCGGTTCCTAAATGAATTCTCTAAAATAAACCCGCGTGATAAATTCTTGTAGACCCGCAAAAACTGTGGACCATAGATTAGATCCCGGATGAGAATGACGCCAGGGTATCGGAAAGTTAATTGAAGGACAGCAATCGGAGGCGGCGGTAGTGCGATGACTGATGGTATCCTGCAGGTGACATCTGCCTCTGGGTATCGTCCGGTCGAGGATATATCACCATGATGGAGTTTAAAGGATCGTCTTTGTCTGATGGTATCTGCTTTAATGATCACATTTCCCGGCAACGTTAATCTCAGCAATAATGGATCACAGCATATGTGTTTTAATAAACTTAAAATGTTATGCAAAAATCATCACACATTATACAATTCAATAAAATAGTTTCTGCATGTAAGCGCTTACCCCAAAAACTATTGGAGCTATTTACGCATTTGTTTTTTTTTTTAATTGTCAGTATTACTACTAGTGTTTAAGGTAATACAATTATTTTCAACGGACTGCATGCTTAGACAGTTTCGTAAGGATTGTTCATTATTATGATCACTGTAGTTTCCCTTATTTCTCCAGAGAACGTAATACTTATATGAAGAAGCGCCAGCAGTCTCTTTTTGGAAAAATCTTTTTGAGGGTAGCCCAAGTGTGATTTTGTCTCCAGGCTTTTCCAGGACAAAACTTTTCCACTTCTCACTCGGCCTGCCTACTCGATACCGTTCCTTTCCAATGATTCCACTCGAGAGCTTCCCGGATGATGCCTTCCTTCCTCCTTAATCTGTGCTCGATTTACCTCCATTTCACCAGCCTAATTTTGTCTTATATTTTTCGTTGCATGGTACGTCTAAATATCTCCTCATTGAAAACCAAATTCCTAGAATAGACCTGAAGTATTTATTTCAGACATTTTGCAGACGGGTATATACAGTTTATTATAGTTGTATGTACGTTAGTTTATTTAAGTATAATAAATAAATCACAATTTGACAATCTTGTTGTTGCTGGTTGGTGAATATTTAAAAAGACTGCATAATATGTACAGAAAGCTCGTTTTTCGTTTGTCCTGCAGCTCACCGTAAGTTAGCACACCTTCTCATAAATATCGTTTTAAGTCAATATATATGTATAGCATAGCGACAAACTTTCAAGCACACTGAAGTGATCTTAAGAAAAGAAGTTGTTCTTTCGGCAGAGAAAACCAGTATATATTTAAAGCACTAAAAGTAGGAAACCAACTGTTGTCCCTGTTTTTCCGTGAAGATCTTTAACTATCGAAGTCCTGTTTTCTATCAGTAGAAAAGAAATTATAAATATTTCCATGCCAGTTCAGACAGATTTACAAGTATACTAAATAATAATATTTAATCCTAGTTTTACTTGGGCCATTGGGCTGTCGTTAAATATATTCTGTATTTATTGAAGTGGATGATAGAGTAGCGCAGGAACTCTCAGTCGCTCTCCATTGGAAGAGGAATAAGCCTTGTTCCCTTGCTTGATTTTAAATAGTGTATATAAGTATGTCTGTAGTATTTTCATTTTAAGAAGGTAAACACGATAAAAAAGGTAAAACACACATGTTTTGCAATTATAACTTTACACAACTAATAATTATTTTTTTCTTTCACAATACATTATTTATATAATTGAGATTGGTCTTAAAATAAAACATATAAGTCATTAGTTGGAATCCTTATAGTCCCTATATTTATAAGATCGAACGAAACCCTAAATCAAGAAGATACCCTAATAATAAACAAAGTTTTAATTTTCATTATACATTTTTTTTTCTGTTTTGAGTATATAACAGAATTTCGATGATTTCTAACAAAGCAGTGTGAGTAGGCATAATTTTTATTGTTTCTGTTACCTTTTATCTTTCTATTCATAAGAGTATATTTTATTTTATTTAAAAGTATTTTACTTTTTACTTAAGTTTTACACTCTCCTCTCTTTGTGGGTATGTATATTTGTAGGTATGTGTTTTTTTTTTTTCTGTTCGTAATCTATTGCGTTATAAGTAGATCACAATACTTGTTTACTTTTTCACAATACCTTCACATGTTTTCACTTAAACGGCTTATGGAACATATATAAATCATTTATTTACTCTAGTGATTTTCTTTTATTCTTATTCTTATTTTTATTTATTTATTATTTTTTTTTTTTTTTGTATTGTAGCACTAAAATTGGTTACCTATAAAACTTATTTAGCATTTCTTTCCAATTTTATTAAGTTATAAGTATGTTGTTGTTTTTTCGTACCAATATTATAATATTGTAACCGTTGTACCCATCTGCTTTCCTTAATATACCCTCCAAAACTATGTATATACTTTTTTTATTACTTAGATTCTAGTTACTTTTTATTATAATAGGTCACCTGGCCAGATTTATTGTCAATTGTTTTAAACAATATTATTATTCTCAAGGGACCTAGTCCCAGAATAAAGACGATTTTCTATTTCTACTTCTAATAAAAAAATTAAAAAATTGTAATTTGTAATTGGTTGACTGTCGTGGATAATGAAGAGAAGAATAGTTGTGGTGGTCAGTCAAAAAGGAAGGCAAAAATAAATGATAATATTTATTTTTACATATGCCGACGTTTCGACTTGAAGTTCAGGCCTTCATCAGGGCTGTCTCCTTAAGTGTTGCAGGGAGAATGATCACAAAAAAAATTGTATTTTTATTTTGTTTTTTTTCGACAAACATAACCTATACTATACACCGATGATTAGCTAATTTTTAATTACTATACAATTCAAGGATAATGGAAGACAGAACTATACTTTCCTCTCCCAAAGCCTGAAAGGAGGGGAAAAAACAAGCACCTTAGAGGCCTAAATGAATGAAACAGGTGAGGCGGACTGAATGAGTCCCTAAAAACCTTTGGAGGAAACCATTAGGCCTCGGTAATGACTGCTCACAGACTGTTTGTACTTCAGCCAATTCATTGTTCCCCCCAACTTTTGGTGTCAGGTTTCTTAAGACTTCTCTCTGAAATAGGCTTCAGTTGAACACTCCTGCAATCTTCATTCTATGGAATATTGTAACTGGGAGGAGATCTAAGAAAAAATTGATGGCATGCATCTTTGAGCAATGAAACTCGTGCATTACTTTTTTTTTACAGGGTCAGGCAGAAAAAAAACCACTACTTTCTGCCGTTTTCCGTCCGTAAATAAAATATATATTGTACGGGAAGTTATCTCTCATTATTAACTAAGGGGACTTTTTTCTTTTAAGAATTAAAACACCAAATGAAAAAAATGGACCGTTCAGCATTCATTTAACGATAATTACAATTATTTTATTCGCGTTATTTGTTGGATTTACAGGCCTTATATATCTTTTGCCGCATTAACCAGCCTTATCCATCGCAAAACTTTGTGTTCCCTACCCTTCATCCAAAGTTTAGACAAATCAAAAAAATAAAAGTGGTATGTAGAAAGAATATAGATAGTGTTGCCTAAATGCGAGAATAGTCTTGGTCTTGCACACTCAGTCTTGGTCTTGGTCTTGTGTAACAGTCATGCAGTTACCTATTGGCTTATTTCTATAGTGGCATTACTGTATTTTTTTTAGATTGGAGAAAACTAACCAAGGCCGAATGAAAAATTAGAAGTGCTAAATGCAAAAATATGTTGGTTATACCAATTCTTTACATATAGTAACTAAAATTGTCAAGTATTAGTAACTATTTTTTGTTTAAAAATTGATTTTTTTTTACCAGTCTTGGTCTTGGTCCTGCAACAGTAAGGCCCTCATGGCCGATTTTGGGCAACACTAAATATTGGCGAGAGACCAAGATGTGTGGTAAAAGTGGCAGGAGGCTCCTTCAGGCTGAATGGCACTTCAGGCAGGAGGACAAAAAAGAAGATAACCAGATATAGAAAGAATCAAAGATAGCTGTTTCTCACAAATGGAGAATGAAAAATTAATAGACCTTCAAAAGTTTCGGTCCTATATGACAAATCATTAATTCATAACTTTTTAAAGATGTTTTATATGGTTCTCACAAGTCAAAATCAAAAGGTAAACAAGAGTAAAGTATACAAGTTAGGTTAGAACTACACATAGAAACCAACTATGGCGATATGGGTTATTTGAGATTGAGCCCACATACGGCCGTGGTGCTGCTCGGACTCGGTGAGAACCATTGCTATAAATTGTATGAGACCTATTATCGCACCAACACTCGACCGCCGTGCGGCACGGACGTGGTGTGATAATGTGTCTCTACGTAAGGACACAGAGGAGTTTTTTTTTTCTCAAGAAAATTGCGTCTATGATGCGAGATTACATTGTTTCAACATTTAAATAGAAATATTATTAATATACTCTAACTTACTCACTTATTATTAATATACTCTAACTTACTTACTTATTATTAATATACTCCCACAATAAAAACCAGCCAAGGTGCGATTTGGACGTAGTTTGTAATGTGCGACCTTTAGACACACATGAGTTTGTATTTTTTTTTTAAAGTTAATTATGAAAAAAATGGGACATTAAATTGCTTGAACATTCAAATAGAAATTATACACTATTCGTAACCTCTATAATGACTTGTTTCTAATTTCGTGATTTTCTAGAAAGTTTGACTATTTGAGCAGGAACATACATTAGTTAGACCATATAATTGACTCTCAATTTTACCAAAAAATATTTTTACAAGGAATCAATTTTTCATTTTTATTAAAGTTATTAATAAATAATAAAATGCTGCGAAACACAAATATCATCTGCTTGCGTATACAATATATATTTTTTTTAATTATCTACTATTTTCACTTGTAGTTCAAGATCATTCGAATTTAATATGGATAAAAGAAGCTATTATTGACCCAACATGGAGTTTTAAGGGAAAATTTAAGGTAAGAATCCCATTTCGTTGAAAGGAAATGATTTAAATTTAAAATTTAGCTTTATATCTATGACTAACACTTAAAATATTAACTTTAAAAAAAAAATCAATTTACTTCACTGCGTGAAATTACGTAAAAACCGCCACCTGAATATCTAATATTAAATTATTATCACATGGCCACTGGGTTTACACAAAATTATATTTCCCTGAAGAACCCAGTCATACTTAAATCTCAAACAGATTGGAGCCAGTTTTCGTTTTTTTATTAATTCTTTAATCGTTTTTGTTTTCCAATAATCGAACTTAAGTGCCAAATTTAGGTTCAATGCTTAAAGTAAATTGGTTTGTCTTAGGGCGTTGAATTTAATGGCTAAGTATATTTTTCAATTGGTTGTATTAGTAATTGGTAATTTAGTAATTGAATACAACGAAGGATTCAGTCAAAATTTAGAGGTTTTAGTTTAAATTTTATATTTTGTTTTTTTATTGAACTATAATCGAAATAAAATAATATATTACTGTTTGTAAAACATTTATCCGAATCAAATTTGTTTTATTCGGATTGTTTAGAATTAAAATAGAAGAGGAAGTAGCGTTAGCAATGATACGCAGTATCTCTCATCTAATGATCAGCATTATGAAGACGATGAGGACAAATTTAATTAAATTGAAAAAAAAACATACAATTCATATGCACAGTGGCGTTATAGTTGTTGATAAGTCACATGTTAAGTAAATATAGGTTATAATAAAACACTTCACTTCACCCCGACACCCCTATAAAATGTGAACATTTAGATGATAGTGCTAGACAAGAATGGGCACCGGATCTTCCCACACAAAGCCTTCTTCGGACCAAGCCTCCAGGAACGCCACTTCGCCCAAGAGTACCGAAGAGACGAGGAAGTTCCAGGACGAGTCCTGGAGGTCTCGCAGCGTCGGCAAGGAGATCAACTACTCCGTTAGCGGGCGAGGGGATGCTGTCAGCGTAGTGAGGAGTATCAAGTCGACCAGCTGCGGCGACAGCCCTCCTTCGCAGCACACCCAAGCTGTCAGGCCCAACTCACAGGTAAATAGGAAACTCTAATATCTTGTTCCATAAACTTGTCTAAGTAGCGAGTAAATTGTTTGTGCATGACTTAGGAATTAACCTGCAACATATATGTTATGGTAAAATAATCCCTTTTTCGTTACTCTGAAGTAAGTATCAAACGAGAGGGAATATCATGAAGGAGTGAAGAATCCTTTAATCTCGATTTCGATCTCTAAATTCCTTCAAAAATGTAAATGATAACCAAAAAAAGGGGAGGTTTCAAAGTTAACAAATAAGGGGACCCTACACGATCAATCGGAATTGCACTAATGACGTTCCGAATTGTCGTGTAAGGTAGTGAATAAAGTACTGATGGTGGGGCGCTGCGGATTTCCGAACATCCGGAAATCAAAGGTTCATTCACGAGAAGTGGAGGGGGACTGAGGTAAAAGTAGTGGGGAGACTAACCATACTGGTGGATAGGTTAGGTTACCTAGGCCTCACAACCATTATAGATTTCTGATTATCATTATATGTAAATAGTTAAATAATTTTTCATATCCCTTGTTTATAATTTTAAACCATCTTCAACTATTTCTTTTAAATAGTCAAGTGGGCAACAAATTAAAAAAAAAATGAGGAAACTTCACAATTTACTTTAAGAAAAAAAAAACTTTAACGTTGTGTATATTTATCAGTTCTTTTCCCATTTTCCTCAACAAATTTATTATTTTCGCAATACCTTTCTTTAATTTTTGTAAGTAGTAGACTTATATTTTATTAAATTTTGTCAAAACGATTTTCTATGAGACTAACCTTACTACTAGATAGGTTAGTTTACCTAGGTCTCGTTATTAAGTAAATAATTTCATAAAAGTAAATAGTTGTTTATATCCCTAGTCTATATTATTATTAACAATTTTCAACTATTCTTTCTTTAAATAGTCAAGTAGGCAATAAATTGGAGAGAAAAAAAAGTGGAAACTTAATATAAGTAATGATCAGTAATGATTGAACGTGTAAGGGTCTTCATGATCAAAGCGATCACGGACAATCTTGGAACTTCTTGTGACGTTCATTCATGAATTACCGTGTAGGATCCCCTATAGAGATGAGAAACATTGTTTTATAAACATTTCGACATATTCATCAAGACCCATTCTAGTTCCAAAACAAGAGAGAACAAAAAACCAAGGCACAAATGTTCCAAAGAAGTAAGTCTTGAGCGAATAAATTAAATAAACATTTAACTGGAGGCTTATTTTCCAAAGGGGCTAGCTAATTTTGATAATATTTTGTTGTATTTAACATGTTTTGCTGACGTCACATTTATCAAAAGAGGAAATGAAAAAGGTCGTTTAAAATTGTTGGCTCTTTTCTACATTGAGAACAGCAACAAATTTTTGAAGTGTTGTCGCATTTGAATTAAAATATCTCAGAAACTAAAAATCGTATCTGTATACTTTAAGTGAGAGAAATGTTTAGAATTTTCTTTTCTTTGTAATGAGTTGTTTTTTTTTTTTTGTTTTTTTTTTAACATTTTATTGAGAAATATTACAATCTGTCACAGATAAGGACACTTATAATAGAGTTCAGAGAGTACATTCATACTGGAGTTATAATTTAAAATTGTATCTTAATGTGAGGCCATGTTAGCAGGGCAAAAAGATAAAAAGGGAACGAGTTTCGTTTAAATATGGATTAAAATATCTCAGAAACTAGAAATTGGACCTGCGTACCGTAAGCGAATTAAATGTCCATTTCATCCACTCTGTAATGGGCTATTATTCAAAATTGTATCTTCACGTAACGCCGTGTTAGAGAGGCGAAAAGGGAAAAATAGTGTAGAAAACCAAGTGATAACGAATTTTATTGAAGATAAGGATTAAAATTTCTCAAAAACTTAAAATCTTATCTGCATACTGTAAGCGAGGGAAATCATCAGCATTTCATCCTATTTGTAATCAGCTGTTATTCACAATAGTATCTGAACGCTACGTCGTGTTAAAGAGGTGAAAAAATAAAAATAAAGTATCACTGGTTTACGCTTGAACTAGAAAAGAGCTAATTTTTTTTCCACTAATACCACGTAATTTCGAAATTAAATTTTTAAACATTACAAACAATTGTTAAATATAACTAAACTTTTTAATTCATAATTGATCATTGTTTAATTATGCAATAATGATAAATGGAAATTAAATTTTATTAGGTTAGAATTTTACGACCAGTCAAAACATATGTTTGTAAGAGTGTTTCATTCTGTAAATTAGAAATTAGAGTATTATTCACTGAATATAACTACTTGGACATATAAAAGAGTTTGTGCCATTTTGCCAAATTTAATGTATTTTTACATCGATAAGTAATGTGGAAGTTTATAAAGATGGTCTTGAAAATTTAGCTCCCAAAGCTGAACATTCATGGGATCTTACGGACGTGGGATCATAAATTTCAATTACATTTTTTTAGTGAAACTAGGCCAAAAATATTAGACCCATGTCCTAGGATTCTTGCCAGTGCACCACGAAAACCGAGAAAATATACACACAAATCCCTTTGCTTAGTTCGGAATTTTAAGTTATCATATACCAATCGATTACTTTTCTTGAGATGAATAAGAAAAAAAAATATTGTAGTATTAAATGAGTTGTTAAGTATCTTAAACAACGAAAACTATAAGGGGATTCCAGTGTAAAGTAGAACATGTAAATTTTTACTGTAAACAAGAAACATACATTCGTTTTTAGTGTTCTTTAAAGTCCTTAAATACGAATTTTATAGATATTGAAAATTGCTTGATATGCTTGAAAATTGATAAAAAAGATTTTATCCAAATTTAATATAATAATTTTTAGAATTCTTCCCACATGTGAAAGGATAAGCAGATCTCCAGGAGATCTCAGCGCCTCTCTCTCAGCCGCAACATTGGTAGTAATGACCAATGCAAACTAAACATAGGCGTTTTAACCACAGACTTACAAGGCATGAGTGAAGAAACTGAAAATTTGCTAGAAATCATTATTTGCATATTTACAAAAGGTCTCGGGACCACTGATTCAAACTTCGAAGAGGACTCTAGGGATGTGTGGAGCTAGATAGCCCCTATACAAATATAATCCTTATTATTATATAATATATAATCCTAAATAGTCTGTAAGTCCAAATAGGATCGTCTTGTAGATTAGTAATTTGTTGTCAATAGCAAACTAAGATTCTGTTCAGTGGTCTAAGTTGCTATGTATTGTAAAGACCGCCGGTGGAATAATTATTTTAAATGTAGAAATAAACATTATAAGTGTTCACATCTGGCGGTACCTGACTGAGGGTAACCCATTAGGACAACCTTTTGTAAGTGGTAATAAAAACCCTTAAGGACCACCGACAAAGACCGACAACTAAGTGTTTAAAAAGGATCCCAAAAGACCTTTTCACACCTTCCACCAGAAATATGGAAATCTGTACCTGCTGCTTTACCTTGGCCTGGGGGAGAGGGCGTGGTCATCCCTTAGGCTGAGAATATTCAGCCAATCAGGAAAGAGACTACCAAAAGAGAGGGGGATGAAAAAAAGGTGGGAAATAGAGACTTCTTCTTGGAACTGAGAGGAGGAGACTTCTTCTTGGGACTCGGAGCTGAGAACACTTGCTCTTGGGACTTCAAGCGGGGGAGTCGAGGGAGGAAGACGAAGACAGCCGGAGAGAGAGATGGACGGACTAGACGCCGAAGGAGAGCAGAGACAGGGAATCCAGATGTGACGGCTAGAAACACTATGAAGAACCAGCTAAGTGGTAACAAGCATTTAGTTATACTAATGTAAATTTGTGTTGGCAACCATACATCATTAATTAATAAAATCAATACATCAAGCATTCTCCTCTAGTATGATTCTCAACTATTCATTATGTATATAGGTTTATTTATTATTTTGTATATAGATGTTTTTGGTTTTATTTAAGCTTGTAAATATAATAGTTAGCAAACCATCTTAGTACTTTTACATTCTACCTTGCATGCCACCAATTAGTAATAGAACAAATAGTAAATTTAAAAACATGATACCTTTAGAAAGGAAATCCAATAAAAATTATATGGTTCAATATAGGATACTACAGTAGGGGGTCTGTGGTATCTAACATTTAAATACCTAATTAATATATTTTTCTGTAGATAGGTTCCCTTCTGGAACCGATATGAATACAAATATAAGTATTAAATACATTTTAATACAAATAAATGCGATTCCTGGAACCCCTTACTCGCCGTAGAAACGCGAGGCCAGGAACATAGCAAAGTAGTTGGCCAAATCGTTGGTAGAGTTCTTGTCTTTTGAGTCTAGTATTTTGGTTCCACGTTAGTCGTCGATCTTAGAGAAGGCCAATATGCTGTGTCTGAAAAAGGAAGCTGGGTGGAATTAAAATGGACAAGTGGTATTAGACCTGTTATCACACTTCGAGAATTAGGTAAAGATGAAAAAAATACGCATAGCGGGAAGTATCGGTGTATTCACCGAACATACGATACATACAAACGGCAACATTCCTCAATGACAATTCACGGAATAATTTAACATAAAAGAATCGCTAATGAGTAGGCTATTGTGGTCGCCCGGTTTTCATGTTTGGATAATACAATTTTCAATTTATGGCCACTCTGCATAATGCATGCATAATACCAGGGAACGTGGTGACTGTTGATCAATGGAAAGTTATTAACTGTTTTATGTATATTACCAAGGGGAATAATTCTCATGTGCATCTAGAACTGATTATGCTAATGTGTCTTCCTGCCGTCTTTATAGTACCCAAGCGCTAGCTTATTTTGGCCGATGTTTCGGTATCAAAATAATTAATTGAATTAAGTGAACTAGTCAGAAATATTTAATATATATATTTTTTTACCCTGATTAACATGACGTAACATAATAGTTATAGCCATTTATAACTGACAAAATGTAAACCTAGAATCAAAGAAATCGTATAAGGAGGAATGAATCATATAATTTAAAACTGGGTGGAATAAAAATAATTAACTATTA